TGGCTCTGCATAGGGTTGCCACCCGTCTGGTTTTCACCCGGACAGTCCGGTTCTGGAGTCTTGTGTCGTGTTGTCCAGCGAGCGGGCACCCGGACAGTTCGGTTTTGGAGTCTTATGTTCTGTTGTCCAGCTAGCGGGCACCCGGACACAAGACACTTAGTGCCGACACCAGCACTTTAAATTTTCTGGCAGATGCGGCTGCCGAGGTCCCTGGCAAGCGCGATCTCGGGCAGCCGCATCTGCCTGCAGCTCAGAGTCACATCCGGGTTTCAGGCAGATGCGGACGCTCAAGATTGCGCTTCACTGGGGACCTCGGCAGTAGCATCTGTGTTTGCTCCTCCTTCTCCTTCTCTGGCTCAGTGACACTGTGCAGCCCACCTGCGGACCCCTGGAGAGACACCATAGCCCAGACAGCCCTGAGAGTCGCACAGCCCGCCCTAGAGAAGCCTGATCGCTTGAATCATGTAAACAGCCATCGCTGGCTGCTTACATTTCTGTCAGTTTCCCCACTTGTGTGCTCGCTGTGCGCCGCGCACGAGCAGGGGGAGGGGAAGGACGTCTTAAGACGCCCTCCCGCTCATATAAGGCTCCCGTCCGGTCGTTTAGGAACGGCCATGGAGGACAAGTGGTTAAAGGAGAACTATTAGGTAAGTTATTTCCACTCATCCTCATAGTTAGAGCCGACCTGTGACAAAGAAGCTGTCAAAGGTCGGCTCTATTGATCGGGAAGTGAGCAGAAACATGCAGCCGATCCGCTCACTTCACGATCATCTCCCTGCAGAGAGCGGTGATTGTCAGTTCCCGACTCCCGGTAGGGATTTCCCCTCTCCGATCCTCCAGTGCTGGGTGGAGGAACAAACAGGGAGGGGGCAGACACAGCTAGCTCTACCTCTAGATAGGCAGAGCCGGCTGTAACTCACACAGCTGGGTGGATCTTGACAGTATTGTCGGGATCCGTCCCGGCTGCGGCGGTCTCATTATACCGTGGGTAATATCTCACTATATACTGAGCTTTGGGTCACGGGAGGAGGTTAGTATATGTCCTCCCGTGGCCCTAAAGAGAACTAAGAGGAAAAAAACTTAACCCATAGTTCTCTTTTAAGACCTATAACAACAGAGTACGTAATCAACCTAACAACATCCATTTAGAACTGAAGGATCCAATTTTGGGCGCATTGATCTGCTAAAGTCTACCCACCTTACTCTGTTTTCCAGGTCAGTTATCCTTTCATTTAGCTCCTTTTTCTCTCTCCTCAAAGAATATATCTCAGCATTCGCTCCAGCCTTCCCGCTGGTCACGTAACTCAGTTCCTTCATGTGGTCCTTCAGGGATTTGATTTTAGAAGCCTGAAGAGCATTCTTCTCCTTGAACCCTTCTAATTCTTCTTGAAGCTCTTTCAGGAAGACGTCCTTGGCAGATAATTTATGCTTCAGATCAGATACCTAAAAAGGGCAAAATTGTACAGGGTCATCATACTGTATATGGCATACTGAAAACTGCACCAGTCACATCACAAAGTGGAGAAGGTGACTGGCATTATGATGGGTTGAGCTACTCCTATACCAGCCAAGTGTCAGCATTTTTATATGGATGAATAAACTGAGCTTTGAAGGGTTTAGCACCACAAGATCATGATAAAGCTCCCTTGTCTCCGATGCAACTCTAATGCTGGCCATACAACGGTGGAATTTTGTTCGAAAAAACTCTTCTAATAGTTAATAAGGTCAAATAGACAATCATTTTCGTCAATTTGAATGAATATGGATGTATGGATATGAATATCTATATATATAATAATAATAATATAATATGGATATGAATTTTTTTAACAAATGAAATTCTAACAGCGAATGTGGTTTTTATTTGAGAAACTCTATTCATTGCAAAAAATAAAAAGGAAAATTAAACAAAATTTCGAACGACATTCTACAAGTCTCTGATGACATTATCCAATGTTCTGACCAGATTTTTCATATGAGCATTCATATGAAAATCTACCAGTGTACTGCCAACTTAAAGTGACACTAAACTCAGGAGTTACATCTTAAAAATACATTCAAGTACCTGAACAAATATGGAGCTTATTTTTGTATCACTCAGCTGAAGATCCTCAAATCATCTCTGAATTAGTGCTGACACTGTCCTTCCTTCTGGAGGGGGGCTACTTTTGTTCCCCATGGTCCCTGTGCGCGTTGTAAAGTAGCCACTCACTCCTGTGATGGGCTACAATCTCCTGTTTCGTTTACTAATTTGTATTGAAGGTATAGTATATCACGGTATATAGGTATATCACGGGAGCGAGCACGTCTTTGTGGACCTGGTCTGTAGGAACCTGTGCCCATTCGACCATTAGTGTTCAAAATGATTACAACAATGTGTACTAGGCTTAGTTCCAGGACTTGGTGCTAGCTACACCAAACTCATCAAACCATGTTTTATGGAGCTATGATGGAACAGAAAAGGCCCCTCCAGCATGATTGTCACTACAAAATTGGAAATGCATAATTGTCTAAAATGTCTTTGTATGTTGTAGGGAAACACCTGAACTCAGTCATTTGGAGGCTTGTCCACATTTTTTTTGTCCATATAGTGCATTTAAACTTCTTGAGTAGTGCACAAGCAACTGACTGAAAAGAAGGAGGAGACCAACACAATTAGTAATAGCAATGAACTGTGATGGAAAGGAGGGCCACAACAAGCGTGCTTTTATCAGGGACCTCTATCTGCAGTATATAGCTGTATATACATGAATATCCATCAAGAAATGTTGTTTTAGATATATCCCCTGATACATCTCCTCCTAATTTCAGATGGCTCTTTAGGGCTTATTCACAACAAGCGCGTTCCAGGAGCAGAGCAGTTACAGACCGAATCAAAACTGCGTCCAATGTATTCCAATGGTATTTTGGGCTCTAGTTCACACCGCAGCATTCAGTTCCAGAGCATGTTAAAAAAACTGCAGCAAGTCCTATTTTTCCTGCTCCGGAACGCATGCAAGCGCATAAAAAAGCATGCAAACGCACTGGAACGCACTGAAAGCTTATGTTAAATTTTAAAAATATATATATATTTTTTAAACCAAAAACGGCCTGGAACGCATCAAAACACGGCAAAAAATGCGGCATAGCACACTGCACTGCGTGTGCAGAAACTCATGCAGATCTGGTCTGCATTTGATGTGAACAAGCCCTCACTGCAAAACACAGCGTTGCTTTCCATCATGCACCAATTTTACAGCTTCTTTACTCAAAGTTATATAGAAGTCAACAAAATCTTATTACCTGCAGAAGATTTACTTAATAAAAAGAACTTGTTGAGTGAAAAGGGAGAGGTGATATTAAGATCAATCTCAGAATAATGTCAGATGATGTATTGTTGGGTGCGGGTGGGCTTACAGAGACCATTACATGATGAGATACAGGTTTTAGTCAGGAAGTACAGATGACACATGATCTCACTTGACACAGTAGAAGAGGCTCTCTTTTGGGACTAGTAGACGGTCAAGTACATTTTGTTGTTGGAAATTGCACCTATTATAAGCAGCTCTATCCTAATCGAATAACAAATTCTGCATGGAACCTGGGGCCATCTCCCCGATCTGCACGTTTTTAAGAAGTTCAGATCTTCACCCTGCCATGCCTATCGAAGGGATCAGAGCAACTCTGTGGTTAAAAAAAAAAAAGAGAGAGATATGCAGGCTGACATTTCTGGGCTCCTTCTAAAAACGCTAGTGGCTTGGCTTTAGTCATTTTGAGGTGCAGATTTAGAACAAGCATTCCCAAAACAAGGCCAGCAATGGCAGCCTTCATATTTCTTTTAAGGGAACTGGACTGGACAGCACTTTCTGTATGTACCTATAGACCGGAGATGATGATTACAGACATCCCAACTCTCCCAGACGTTCCGGGAGTCTTCCACTATAAGATAGCAGCTCCCGGCTGCCCGGGAGAGAAACATTTTCTCTGCTTGATCTAGCAGAGTAAACCTTTCCCTGCTGTGTTTTTTTTTTCTGACATCGGGGCCGGCGGCAGTCAGCGAAAAAACAACTGCATAGAATGAATAGCTAGATTGCAATTGGCTATTTCAATTTGCAATAGCCAATAGCAGACTAGCTATTGCACCCACTGCTGCTGTCAATCAGCAGAGGTGGACCTGAAGTTTTCCATCAGGTCCTTCTCTGCTGATTGACAACAGGAGAGGGTGGGTGCAATAGCCAGCTTGCTATTGGCTATTGCAAATTGAAATAGCCAATAGCAATCTAGCTATTCATGTCTATGCTGGGGTTTTTGTTTTTTTTATTCTGACAGCAGCAACTGTCAGAATAAAAACTAAATAACACTTTAAAAAAAAACAGCAAGGGAAGCATTAGCTTCTTTACTATCTGCCATCATTTCAGGGGGGTTGCTCCCCCCCGCACGTGGATGGGGGGGTACACGACACAGGGCACCTCCCTGAAATGAGAAGGGCACCTCCCTGAAATTACTTTTTTCAGGTTGGGATCCCTGTCATTATGAATAGACTGCCAACACAGCCTAATGTTTGTATTTCATTGGAAGAGTGTGTGCCACGGTGACAATACAGAAATAAACCGGGAAGTCAGGATAAAGTGTTGTCACTCTATATCAGGAAGTGCCTCAACAAGGACCTTCATACGGCAGGATCTCCAGCTATTATTTTAATAAAAGCTGCAGATTTCAAAAATGTTTCCGCCATTTTTGAAATAACATGTTAAAGCTTATAAAGAGATATGAAGCTATCAGATAATTACTTCTACATCCACCCAAATCTGAGATATCTCTTAGGAATGTGACAAATCTTTTAACATGTAGCGCTTGTTCTCATGCCGTGATACCCATATGGACCTCACCTCAGCCAGCAAGCTCGTATTCCTCACCAGCAATGCAGCATGTTCATGCTGAGCAGCTTCAGCCGCAATCTTGTAATTCGAAAGCTGGTCTTTACACCCAGTGTTATAGGAAGCCTGAAAGAAAAAAAAGGTTTCTCATAACTGAGCTCAAATTCTACTTAGTACATAGCAGGTTGCTCAGAATTAGGCATGTCTACTGTTGGTCAAGTGGGTAGCGATGAACTAAAATGATAAACGCCCCTTACTCATGGGCAGAAATGTATTTTCCTACTGCTGCTCCTCCATACTGGATAAGTAGTGGTGACCACAGATCTCACTGATATCTAAATAAGTGTGCGGAGTCTGATTATACTTCCTTCCTCCACCCCAGGCCTTCTGTCTTGTGATGTCCCTCTCCTACTCTAGTCAACTCCTGTTAGCTAACCTTAGCACCATACAAACATCCTAGGCCAGGGGTCAGCAACCTTAAACACTCAAAGAGCCATTTGGACCGGTTTCCCACAGAAAAAAAAAAAAAGTTTTCCTGCTGTGTCACTATAAGGGCCATCTGCGTTGGAACTGCGCTGGCCATTGTTTCCAGTGCAGCCCCAACGCAAGACAAGGCAATTTGCCTTGTAACGAATGGTGCCCATTCACACCACCGCATTGTGGTAGGAACATGGTAGTGTGCTTTGAAAAAAAAAGTGAGGCATGTCTTACTTTTTTCAATACGGCGAGAGGTGACCCAGTACAACCGCCTCACACCCCAATGTGCCCGTAGAACTGAATAAAATATAACTTGCAACATTTCAATAAAGTGGTAACAAAAAAAGTACACAGTGTGATGTGCTGGGATCAGGCACTGTGACAGGCACTGCACACCAGAGGCTGTGTGTTTATCGCATTTGGTGTGAATTGGTCTGGTGTGAGTTGGCTCTTAGAGATGAGCAAGTTTGCATTTCTCTGTAAAATTGTGTGAAATTCAGGACATTTTGTCAAAATGCATTGGAGTCAATGGAGAAGGCAAAAAAATGTATTTTGCGGGGTTTTTTTCCAATAATGAATCCATATCAAACAAATATTTATTATAAATCTTTCCCAAGCACTTACAGTGATTATGTTTCCGATCACGTGGCCTCTATCCTCTCTGCTCGACTTCCCATAACATCCTGTCCAGTACAAGATCACAAGGGACAGCTCACTGTCCATCTACTGGCTCGGAGGGAGGAAGGAAGAATGGGGAGCAGGGGAGTGGCTTGCCCTGCTGTGTCTGCGTGTTTGTGGAGACAGTCACAGCTTACTAGCCCACAAGGGAGGCCCATAGGACCCTACAATGGAAAGGAGTCACCCTAAAATAGGGTATTAGTGCTCAGGGGAGCAGCTGATTCTGGAGGAAACTAAAACCTTTACACATCAAGGAGCAGCATCCATTCTAAGAGATTTATTCAACATTTGAAATAGCCTAAAAACCTTTTGATGATAATATTACTTAAGTTTAGGAAGCTATAAAGTTCCGTGTTTGCAGAATGACCCGGTACCCCTAAATCGGACGCACTCTCTTAAGCAAATAGCGGCCTTATCTCTTATGGCCACACTACAGCTTGCCCCTTGCTGATTTCCTCTGCTGCTTATTGGCCAGGAAGACCGTCCATCACATTTTGTGGTCAATAAGCAGCTGAAAAAAGGAGGAAGAGAAGTGCCCAGTCTCTTATGGCCACACTGCAGCTTGCCCCTTCCTGATCTCTTCTGCTGCTTATTGGCCAGGAAGACTGTCCATCACATTTTGTGGTCAATAAGCAGCTGAAAAAAGGAGGAAGAGAAGTGCCCCAGAGCAACCACGAGAGATCTGGTCATCCAGTCTCATTGGACCTAATTGAAAATTAATAAGGATCTTCATCTTGGTGCATTAGCTTTCTGAACTGAACGCTTGACTAGAACATCATATGGAAATACATGAAAACACGATGATGCCCTTGACTTGTTATTGTGCTTTGATCTGCTATAATTATTTGGTCCCCTGTATGGGTTCCTTGTCTTAACTCATCTCCTTCACACAGCTAGCAGTTGGATAATACTAACAGAGTTCCGGAACAAGTGAAAAGAACATACAAACAAAGCCCCCAAAAAAGTACAGAACAGACTTCAGAATGGGATAAATCAAATTTATTCACCTGGATAAGAACTGCAAATAAAACATTAGAACGGGTACACTAAATAATTCCCAGAAGAGGCCTTTGCAGACTTTCACAGAAAATAACATAAATCAACATATTGGCTTTAGTAACATAGATCCCTGACACTCGATAGTCCCATACCACCCAGCTATCTGTACACAGGCCAGTGAACGCTCGGCTGGCACAGACGACAACCGGGAAATAACTTTTTGGTGATTTTTTCCCTTGCTGCAATGAGGCACATCAAATGAAAAAAATTATGGTCATGCTAAATTTATTTGCACTTGCATGATTAAGTGGGCAGAAAATGTTTTTATTCTATAACTATAATAATCCACCGGACTTAACTACTGGGCTTAGTGCATGCGCCTGCAACCCTGAGCTCTATATTTCATTTGTATTTTCATTTAAATTTTATATGTATTACAAGAGCTCCCTCTAGTGGTATAATCTTGATAGCATAAAATACTAAAGCTGGACATTGACGGATAAAAGTTCAGACGATTTCTGCTAAATTGGCCAAAATTCAAGCCACAGTTGTCCCTGCAAGAACCAATCAGCCAAGTTGATTTAACAATTGACTAAACACAGTAGAAAATTATCGATCAAACAGAAACTGCGTCCTACCAGATTCAGTCATTGTTTGGCAGTGCCACTAGGTTCAGGCCACCGCAGGTGCCGTGGCTGCTGAATACAATAGCTGGCAGTGGAGATTTCTCCATCCACGCTGTGTTAAAGTGGATGGGGGAATCAAATGATTTTCTTACACTCCACTTTAGCCGCTGCGGGCTAAATGAGATACAATCAAGCCGTGCAAAGCCAGCTTTAGGCTCTCCCAAACTCTCTGACATGGAACAGGCCGGTATACAGGAATATAAATGTAAACCTTAAAGGGTAAGCTCAATTTCTCACAAAATGTGAAAAAATTAACTTAACTACAGCAGCTGGCCACCTTCCCCGGCTGCTGATGCACTTAGTCCCCACCAGCCCGACTTCCTAGCCCTCCCAGTATAAAATGCTTAGAAATGCTCAGAAATGACGAGTGCTCATTGGTCAGCACAGTCACATGACTACCACATGAGAAATGCTTGCCATTTGCGAGCATTGTGCACACTCCATATTGCAGGGCTGGGAAGTCCTGTGTACAGACCGCTACACCAGCTGCATCTGTACACATTGGTTACAGAATATCTGAAGCAAAATATATTGTTTTGCTTTGAATAATGTAAGGAATGGATAAAACTCTGATCAGGTTTTTACTTTTGCCGTGTGTCCCATTAGGGAGATTTCCGTTCACTTCCTGTCCAATAGACACATCAAGAAGTGAGACAATGTCCCTGCAAAGTGAGGAAAACCTACTGTTAGCGCTTGGTCACACTATGTCTATTGCGCTGCATTTTTCTTTACACCACTGCACATGTATGGTGCAAACGGGGCACATAGAAAACAATTGTTCACATCATACATGTGCAGTGACGTGCAAAAAAACGCAGCTCAATAGACAAGGTGTGAACAAGCTCCTAGGCCTTCTCTACTCTTCCTGTTCCACCTGAAAATTTAGGACTATCCCTCACTTTCAGTTTTAGTGACCTGGGGTGTCCCTAGATTTTTGCCCTCCCTGAGGTGGGCAGGGGAGGGAGGGCGGCAGTTTGCTGGTGGTTAATCGATCCACAGTAAAGCGCTAAAAGCCTCACAGTATTACACCCAAATAAGTAGTGTTAAAATTCAAAAAATGCAATAATGTATCAAACTTAATGTTCACAATAAAGTATCTAAAAAAAACAGATCTCTGTGTGAGTGAAATATTGTGAATGAAATTACACAACTTGCGACAAATATATATATGCAAAAATCAACCAAACACAATGTCTGTTTAAACCTCTCTCGGAGGAAAAACGGTGCACAAGTGGATATGTATAAATACAATTCAAGTGAATACAATATACACTGAGTGGCCAGATTATTATGACCACCCCATCAGTACTTCGTTGGGCCTCTTCGTGACTCCACGAGATGACTTCGTTGTGTCGCCTCGTGACTCCACGAGATGTTGAAAGGTGATGCGAGGAATCTGACACTGCACTGTTGCCCTTCTGTTGTCTTGTACCAGTCTTGCCACTCTCCGTTCTGCCCTAACATTGACTAGTCGCTGACGGCCACAATTCGCACGTTCAGACCCAGTTTTCGGCTGACAGTCCAGTCTTTAAACACTTTAACAATGAGCCCCTCTTGAACATTTAACTAATTCTGCTGTTTTGCTGATACTCGCTCCATGGCTTGAGCGCCAACAATCATCCCACGTTCAAAGGCTGTTAAATCGCGTTGTTTACCCGTATCTTCAGAAAAAAATCACTTCTACTGTCGTGGTAAACAACCTACTTCCCTATTTATAATGGTCTGGCCCTCTAGCAACTTCAGTGCGAAATTATAGCTAATTATAGCTAATTTGCCTACAAACGTCAGGTGGTCATAATAATCTGGCCACTGTAGACAACAAGGCAATTTTCAATATGCCCAAAAATCTATAAGTCTGATGTGAAAAAAATCCAAATAAGAAAATGAATTTGGATTTGGATCTTATTTGGGTTCATTTTCTTATTTGGATTTTTTTTCACATCAGACTTATAGATTTTTGGGCATATTGAAAATTGCCTTGTTGTCACATTTGTAGGACATTTTTGTTGCATTTCTGCATTTTTTCACTCCAATTGTTTTACGTTAGGATATAATGTACATATATATTTTATTCACTTGAATTGTATTTATACATATCCACTTGTGCACCTGTTTTTCCTCCGAGAGAGGTTTAAACAGACATTGTGTTTGGTTGATTTTTGCATATATATATTTGTCACAAGTTGTGTAATTTCAAACACAATATTTCACTCACACAGAGATCTATTTTTTTTAGATACTTTATTGTGAACATTAAGTTTGATACTTTATTGCATTTTTTGAATTTTAACACTACTTATTTGGGTGTAACACTGTGAGGCTTTTAGCGGTGTACTGTGGATCAATTAACCTATAAGGCTCACCGCCTGAGTTTAGCAGCTTCTAGCTAGTCCGGTTTTTCTTCTTTTTTCTCCTTCCATAAGCGCAGGTTTTGTCTTTCATTTCAGTTTGCTGGTGGTGCATGGTCCGGGAAGGAGGGTACATGCGTGGAGCTTTGGATTGGTGAAGGGGTGCTTGTGGTTACATCTCTCCAGCGTTCCACCCAGCTCACTGATGTCACTGGTTGCCAGGAGCTTGGCTGGATGCTGCCCAGAGCGTCCCGCTGAGCTCCGGGCAACCAGTGACTTCAGTGAGTTGGACGGAACACCAGCCAAAGCGTCACAGGTTGCTAAGAGCTCTTAGCAACCTGGAACGCTCTGCCCAAAAAGGGGGCAGCATGCGGGTCCCCACGTGACCCAAAGAAATGCTGCCTGAGGCCTCATTATAGGGACGGCCATGCCAGTGACAATGGTCTCTAAAACAAACAAAGAGGGTGAATCTCCCCAGAAAGGACACACACAAAAAAAACAAAAACCTAACAGTGTTGATAACCTTTGCCTACTTCATTTACAAACTAGCTTTAGTTAGTAAACTAACTTTTTAAACTTTATCTAAAAACCTTTGCCTGGAGAACCACTTTAAACTTTACTTACTTAATAACTATAAAATTGCAGCCCTGAAATTCATTGGAGATAAAAGAGACCCGTCATTGATTCTTCTGTCTAGTATACCAAAAATCAAAGTTTTTGTTTGATTTTCCCTTCTACTGTAAAAGATTTGCAGAACTATCCCCATAGAATGTGTTCACCCTGCAAGAAATATCCAAAATATATTTAGTAATTGTAACTTACTCTAGTTTCTCCCCGGCCATCAGGTAGGTCATAGTAATGTCTGTAAAACAGCACAATCAATGAGTTACAAAATGTACATTCTGTTCACAGAGCAGCAATTGTTACCTAGAAGGCCGTTCTTAGGGATCTCTGAACACTGGGTACAAAAACTTTCCTTAGAAAATATTGTTCAATAGCCACAATGAAAAGAATCTGCTTTGTGAACAGCAAATGCCTTTATATACCAAGCTATGATCATATAAAAGTAGCACCAACATCATCACTGTGCTGTCAGGGCCGGATTTAATTCTCTGGAGCCTGTAGGCAGAGAAATCTGAAGTGCACCCCCCTTCCCACCAGATAATAAGTCTAACACAGGCAACAAACAATTGTAAAGACAACGTAAAATACCCCAATACAGTAAGTCCCCTACATACGAATGGGTTACGTTCCGAGAGCACGTTCGTAAGTCCAATTTGTTCGTAAGTCCAACAAAGTTAGCCAAGGGACCCAGATACATCACTGCTACTTTTACGCTTACCGGTACTTCCAAACATCCTGGTCTTGAAATAAAGATACTGTATTCTAAACAGTACTGTACGGTAAAGTACAAAAAAGCACATGCACATGACAGACACATGAATTAACTTACATGATTGGATATGAGAACGCATGTTCGCATCTTTAAAAGTTCGGAACTTGAATGTTTGAATGTAGGGGACTTACTGTATTGCATTGATGACGTCTGTGTAAATGTTAATGTCACATGTTAATGCTGCTGCTCTGGGGGCCTGATGTCTCAGGCAGAGCAGGAGCTGAGGGTCTCAGCTGGGGCAGATGTGGAGGATCACAGCAAGGCAGGTGTGCAGGGTTTTAGCAGGGCAGATGTGGAGGATCGCAGCAGGGGTAGATGTGGAGGATCACAGCAGGGGTAGATGTGGAGGATCCCAGCAAGGGCAGATGTGGAGGATCACAGCAGGGGCAGATGTGGAGGATCACAGCAGGGGCGGATGTGGAGGATCACAGCAGGGGCGGATGTGGAGGATCACAGCAGGGGCGGATGTGGAGGATCACAGCAGGGGCGGATGTGGAGGATCACAGCAGGGGCGGATGTGGAGGATCACAGCAGGGGTGGATGTGGAGGATCACAGCAGGGGCGGATGTGGAGGATCAAAGCAGGGGCGGATGTGGAGGATCACAGCAGGGGAGGATGTAGAGGATCACAGCAGGGGAAGATGTGGCGATCACAGCAGGGGCCGATGCAGATGATCACAGCAAGGGCAGATGCGGAAGATCACAGCAAGGGCCGATGCAGAGGATGGCAGCAGGGGCAGATGTGGAGGATCACAGCAGGGGCCGATGCAGAGGATGGCAGCAGGGGCAGATGGGGAGGGTGACCGCAGGGGCAGATGCAAGGCAGCAGGGGCCGATGCAGAGGATGGCAGCAGGGGCAGATGTGGAGGATCACAGCAGGGGCCGATGCAGAGGATGGCAGCAGGGGCAGATGTGGAGGATCACAGCAGGGGCAGATGCAGAGGATGGCAGCAGGGGCAGATGTGGAGGATCACAGGAGGGGCAGATGCAGAGGATGGCAGCAGGGGCAGATGTGGAGGATCACAGCAGGGGCCGATGCAGAGGATGGCAACAGGGGCAGATGTGGAGGATCACAGCAGGGGCAGATACGGAGGGTCACAGCAGGGGTGATGTGTGTGGGTAGCCCCAATGCAAGGGCTAAAATGTTACCCAAACTTCAGCTTGAGTGCAATGAGCCAACACAACAGCCAGAACAGCATATAGTAACTATATAATCTTTGGTGTCAATAGGGGAGAAAAAAACATGCTAGAGAGGCCGGGTCATAGCTTCCTTTCTTCACGTTCCCAAAGTAAAGTCATGACATACAGTATGTGACAACTGATTGCGAATATCATATGGAGGTTCATATCATATTCATAGAATGTATTCAATATTTAAGGCATTGTGAAAACAATGATGACTAACAAAGGATGACTAACCTCCTGTTCTTCCTAAATCCACACTGGCCGTCCTCCTTAAAAATATCTGGCCTATTATCCATTCCCAGTCTATACGCTTGTCATGTGTACAGAATATTGTATTCCTGTATATCATTTATTCATGGAATAACAACAATAACATTCATAACAAAAGATTCATGTTGTAAAAGAATCCCTTGTCTCTGCTTCCTAATCTAATACATATCACAGTTTGTTCTGTGTTGGAATTACTGTGCGGTGTTGCAATTCCGACCCAAAATATTTGTACTGCTTGACCTTGTTGTTATCCATAACAGCAAACAAAGACTTCAGTCTAAACAAAACTTTTATTTGTGCTTCCCATGGGCTGAGAAATGACGGAGGAATTAAGAAAGGCATCTCCGATAGTTGGCGTAAAACCCTTACAGACGTATCACTATTCAAGTAGAACTGAAGTCAAAACTTTTTTTTACGTTTTGGATAGAGTAAGGGAGGGAATAAACCCGGACAGCTTTTTTTTTTTTTGCCCTCTGTGTCCCACTGTGGAGATTTCCCTTGAAAGACACCAGAACGAGTGTCCCCATCAGAAGATTTCCCCTCTATTCCTGTTCTAGTGACATCATTTTTTTTCCACTTTCAATGATAATGGTCAACAGGGCTACTAGAGAGGGTGAATTTTCCTACCGGAGACACAAACAGCAATAAAAACCTGACAGGGCTTCTAATCCCTCTCCACTCCCTATCCTAAAGTAAATAAAAACATTTTAGCTTCAGTTACACTTTGTAGCCCAAAATAACAAATCAACAACATGCATTCCAGGTGCATCAAAACAAATTGGGGGGAATTGATCAAAACTGGAGGAAACAAAATCTGGAGCAGTTGCTCATGGCAACCAATCAGCCTTTCTCTTGAGTTTGCTCAGCTAAGGTTGGAAAATGAAAGAGAGAAGCGGATTGGTTGCTGTGCACAACTGCTCCAGATTGTGTCTGCTTAGGTTTTGATAAATTCCCCTCATTGGAATGATTTGAGGATCTACAGCCGAGTGATACACAAATAAGATACATTTTTGTTACTAGTTTGGAGTGGCGGTGCCCCATTTATGCTTTGTGTATGTAATGGTGCCATCCGGTGGAGACTGCAGGACCCACCAGTGGTTTCAGGACATAGCGGTCAGGAGTGCGATGGGTATATGGACTTCTGATTCACAAAGGAAACTCATCATGAGGAGATATACAAGCTGCAACTGCTGACCTCTCCTTCAGAAAATACTTGTTACCTGGCTGCCCAGCCGATGTATTGGCTTCATTGCTTTGTAAATGAATGATCCAGAACAAGTGTAGCGATTAAGAGTTCTAAATTCTGTTTGCTGTGTGCTTGCTGCTCAGCAGTCATGCAACTATCATTTCAAAGAGGCGAGGAATGGCAGCCCCCATACTTCCCTTGTGACATTATGACCGAATTGTAACACATTCCATGGGCTTTGTTTATATTCAGCAAAGATTTGGAAATCCTTTATTTACACATTGATTAGTAATCAGACAGAAAGGACAATTACCTGGGGATTTTCACGGAGCCGTCAATATTCTTAGTGTAAACATCATCTTTATCATAATCCTACAGGAAAAAAACACAACAGAGGTGATTGAAGCTGAAACACATTAATAAACTTTTAAATGGAAACTTACATACATTTGAAAAATGTGCAAACAGACAGTTTTTTTTTATTGCAGAAGAGACATACTGTGGTGTATAAACAATTCATAGAGCCATTTGCCCTGTGAATCTCTGTGAAGTCCATTCTGTGCGGATAGAGGCAAAAACAAATGTTCTTATATTATTTCTGTTCAGGCTGAATGTAATACCCCATTATGGTCACTAGATGGAGCTGAGGAGCACAGGAAATATATATTTATTCCTTATGCTCCTCAGCTCCATCTAGTGGCCACAATGCAGTATTACATTACATTTTTCATGCATGGAGGGGGTCTTAGCAGCAGAGACAGCCAGCTATAAAGAGCACCTGCTACTCTGAGGGCCCATTCACACCAGTTGCAGTGCTGAAAGCACTATTTTGATCGCACCGCAGGCCCAATGTTCCTTGCAATCCCGTGTGGGCGATCGCATTGCGGCCGGAGGGCGTGTCTACGGTGCCATTCACTTCAATGGCCTGCCACGCCCCCCTCCTGCCCCACTAAAAAGTGAGCCGGCCGCAAAGCGAGGCAGTGAGTTCCAGCCAGAATCAGGCAGGAACGCACTGCAACTGGTGTGAACGGGCCCTGAGAACGTGACAGGTTCACTTTAACAAGCAGACAACCCCCTGTGCACATGGCCGGACTTGTGAAGACAACACAAACTGGGAAGATTTCATCAAAACTGGAGCAGACAGAATCTGGAACAATTGCCCATAGTAACCAATCAGATTCTCCCTTCAATTTGTTTAGATGAGCTTTGAAAATGAAAGATCGAAGCTAATTGGTTGCCGTGCACAGCTGCTCCAATTTTGTTAACTTCCCTCCATTGTTTTTATCACATTTACACATTACCTCGTGAAATTTCTTGCGTGAACCCCCAAATTTAGGACGGCTTCTGCTGGGGGATGAAGTTCGATCAAACAGCCGGTCGATCCTGTCGTCATAGCTGTACGGACTGGAAACGTCAGACATGACGGCAGAGAAGCTGAAATTTCTGATCCAGGTACAGCAGGCTTGTGGTTGAGGGATGATCGGCCGGAGCTTTGGCAGCACACAGGTTACTATTAGCAGAGTGGAGGGCGGTGCGTGTTCCTATGGGGACCTGACAACACCTGTCCTCATACCCAACTGTTGTAGTAACTGCTTGTCACCAAGTGCGTGCTGCTAACACTAATATTCATTCACAACCAAGGAGGAGCCTACTACTGTGTACTAAAGTGTATGCCAGGGGGACTCAAAGTCTTCCAGCAGAGGACCGAATCTCATGTTTGTTCTTTGTCTCAATCAGAGTGCCCCCTTACATTAGGTGTCACCATATCGTAAGTGTCCCCATCAGAGTGCCCCCCTTACATTAGGTGTCACCATATCGTAAGTGTCCCCATCAGAGTGCCCCCCTTACATTAGGTGTCACCATATCGTAAGTGTCCCCATCAGAGTGCCCCCCTTACATTAGGTGTCTCCATCAGAGTGCCTCCCTCACATTAGGTGCCCCCATCAGAGTGCCCCCTTACATTAGGTGTCACCATATCTTAAGTGTCCCCATCAGAGTGCCCTCTTACATTAGGTGTCCCCATCAGAGTGCCCCCTTACATTAGGTGTCACCATCAGAGTGCCCCCCTCACATTAGGTGCCCTCATCAGAGTCCCTCCTTACATTAGGTGCCCCCATCAGAGTGCCCCCTTCCATTAGGTGCCCCCTCCAACGGGCCCCCCATCAGAGTGCCCCCTTACATTAGGTGTCCCCATCAGAGTGCCCCCCTCACATTAGGTGCCCCCATCAGAGTGCCCCCTTACACTAGATGTCCCCATCAGAGTGCCCCCTCACATTAGGAGTCACCATCAGAGTGCCCCCTTACATTAGGTGTCCCCATCAGAGTGCCCCCCTCACATTAGGTGCTCCCATCAGAGTGCCCCCTTACATTAGATGTCCCCATCAGAGTGCCCCCTTACATTAGATGTCCCCAACAGAGTGCCCCCTTACATTAGGAGTCCCCATCAGAGTGCCCCCCTCACATTAGGTGCCCCCATCAGAGTGCCCCCTTACATTAGGTGTCCCCATCAGATTGCCCCCTTACATTAGGAGTCACCATCAGAGTGCCCCCTCACATTAGGTCCCCTCATCAGAGTCCCTCCTTACATTAGGTGTCCCCATCAGAGTGCCCCCTTACATTAGGTGTCCCCATCAGAGTGCCCTCCTCACATTAGGTGCCCCCATTAGAGTGCCCCCTTACATTAGATGTCCTCATCAGAGTGCCCCTTACATTAGGTGTCCCCATCAGAGTGCCCCTTACATTAGGTGTCCCCATCAGAGTGCCCCTTACATTAGGTGTCCCCATCAGAGTGCCCCCCTCACATTAGGTGCCCCCATTAGAGTTCCCCCTTACATTAGATGTCCTCATCAGAGTGCCCCCCTTACAGGGGGCCCCCTGGGCTAAAAGTTGCCAGTCAGCCCCTGCCCCCTTACATTAGGTGTCCCCATCAGAGTGCCCTTTACATTAGGTGTCCCCATCAGAGTGCCCCTTACATTAGGTGTCCCCATCAGAGTGCCCCCTTACATTAGGTCTCCCCATCAGAGTGCCCCCCTTACATTAGGTGTCCCCATTAGGGATGGGCTCGATGTTCGAGTCGAGCAAGATTTCGACACGAACATCAGCAGTTCGTGTGTTCGGTGAACACACAAACTGTCAGGGCGTTTGGCGGGCTATTATCCCGCTGAGCGCCCCACAGGGCACTGTGCACCACACAGTGCCTTGTGAGCACCACACAGTGCCTTGTGAGCCACGATTGGCTACAGCCTATGACTTTGCCCAATCAGGGCACAGTACTCTGTAAGAGCCATGATTGAGCAAAGTCAAGGCTCACCTGTCTGATGCCGCACCACTGTATTTTGCCGGCATCTCTCAAAATGCCATTCTGTGCAGGAGTTCCTCGCGAGCGGACAGGTTGGCGGGCGTCGTTTAAAAAAAAAAATGATTTCTATTTATTTTGTCGAGTTGTTGTCGTGGACAATGCTGGACACCGTGATTGACCCTGGATTACTTTGGTGGATACATTTTTTTGTGGGGGGGGGGGGTTGATAAAAGACATGTCAAAAACTTGTCTTTTGTTTTATTTTCCATTAAAGGATTTTTTCAAAAGTCTGGCCTCTTTTCTAAAACTTTTATTTAACCCTTTAGTGAATAGGTAGAGGTACAACACCCCGTATTCATTCACAAGGGGGGGCATCTGGGAGACCCTTTTTAAAAGGGGTACCCTGATGTGAATAAGCTCCCCTGCCTGCACCCCCACCGCCCTAGGGCTTGTGGGGAAGAGGCCCTTGTCCCCGTCAGGTGCTTTTCCAGGGGCGACACTGGAAAAGCACCCTCCCAGTGCCGAGGGCATGTGGCCTGGTATGGCAGGGAGGCGGGGTCGCTCGCTCGTCCCCCCCTTTCCTGCCAGGCCTATGCTCAGATCAAGGGTCTGGTTGGGAATTTTAGGGGGGACCCCACATATTTCTTTCCTCATTTTTGGGTGTGGGGGATCCTCCTTAAAATTCCTACCAGACCTTAAGGGCTTGGTATGGCTTTGAAAGGAAACCCCACACACTTTTTTTAATGTTCTTTTTTCTAAAATTCCTACCAGACATATATTATATATATATATATAGATATATACACACACACCCAAGTTGAAACGGACACCCCTTTGCTGTGTTCGCTCGGACAGTACCCCCGGTTCCAGCCGCGCTCTGATTGGTTCATGTCAAGTGACATAGAGGGAAGCCGGAGATAGAGGGTTTCCATTATTGTGGCCGGGTGCCAGACCGAGTTAATGGAGCACATTTACAGTATTAGGCGGTGAAGTGAGCCGAGGAGGGATAAGGGGGATAAGGTGCCCATACACCTTACAATTATCTGCAGATTTTCTGTGGTCAGATGGAAAAAGTGCAACAGATTGGCCCAGGTGGAGATTACTCCATCCACACAGTTAAATGTAGATGGAGGAATCTGTTGCACCTTTTCCATCTGACCACATTAAATCTGCATAAAACTGTAAGGTGTATGGCCAGCTTTAGTCCCGGACACCAAGATAGGTGTCACATGACCTCTGCAGGGCGCTGGTTGGTTGAGACTGTTTCCCCATCAGCGCCTACTTTTCATTACTAGGCGGCAGTGGGCGCCCCTTTTCAATACACACTCATCAGCCTAGGGGAGCAGCGAGCCTCCTAACAGCCCCGGAAGTCACACACCGCGCGAGTTCTCTACGGCACCTCCTCTCTGTCATGTGCTCAGGCGAAAACTAGCCCCGCCCACATCCCCGCTGTCAAGGTATAGTATGAGCTGATAATCTCCCCGCTGGCGGGTCCATCCCCTGTCTCTGCCCACATGCCGAGTGGCCACGCCCTCTGTCCGGGATTCGCATGCGCAGTCTGAGTCTTTCACCTCCACGCGGGTAGACGGCTGAGTCCTACATCAGTGTGCGGAGCCCAGCCAGCGCTGCACCATCGGAGCTGTGCGGAGCCGAGTCCCCTTGCACTGTGCAACCAGCATGCCGGCCCAGGTCCTCAGCGGGAAGGTGGCCTCCGGGTGAGTGTGCCGGCTCGCTGAAGGGGTCCATGTGTCATGCTGTGGGGGAGGACTTCTGCTGGAGTTTTCTAAAAGTCCTGCGACACGTGAGGGGTTAACAGCTTGCATAGTTGGAGTGACTTGTTGCAAGGGGCTGTAGCAAAGGGGGTCATTGCATGCAGAGGCCTCAGCACACTAGGGGTTAATTGTCTACTGTGGTGGGACCTCTGCAGGACTATAAATCAGCAGTGAAGGGGTTAATGGTCTGCCTATAGGACGTTTTACAGAAGATCCCACAGGAAGGGGTAAATTGTGTAGTTGGGGGGGTTAGATCTACCTCCCAGTTGTACAAGGGCTGGCCTGATCGGGTAGAAATTGAATGCATTGATTAGGTGTGTGTCCAAATAAATCTCACCCCCCTTACCCCCTCCCCCCTTTACACCTGGATAGCAGGCTATGGCTGGGCGGTAAGGGGGTCTCTTCTGTCCACAGTAAACTCCCCATTATCTGGCATCCACAGGCATTGGTAGATTCCGGCTAAATGTTGTTTCTGGTTGCTTGAGAGTTACTATTAATTTATTTAACTAATGCCATACCATACGCCATATACCATACGCCATATCCCATACCATGCTATACCATATCCCATACCATGCTATACCGTACCCCGCCAAGCTATACCGTACCCCGCCAAGCTATACCGTACCCCGCCAAGCTATACCGTACCCCGCCAAGCTATACCGTACCCCGCCAAGCTATACCGTACCCCAATACCGTCCCCCGCCATGCTATACCATAAACTTTGTATTGACTTCATATTGAAATGCAGTAATTGAAAGCAAATTAATACACATAGATGCACAATTGTTTCCAGTATAATATATGCTACAGATCAGTGAGTACACAGGGGATTTTTTTTTCTCTGGTTAGATGACCTGAGATCATACATTTTGGCAGGAAGATGTGAACTCTAAGAATGATTATTTTCTGGGTCTGGAGTCCTGCTTTGAGGTTATGTCAGGACATTGGGGACCTGGCTGCACATTGCTACCCCTTAAGGTCTAACAAGTGACTTAACACGTGAACAGGAAATTGGATGATGGTGATGAAGCGTAGATAATGGGGGACTCATGATCAAGGTTCAGTATAATCATGTGACAGCGGACGGCCAGAATTTAAGGTCAGCTCCGATCGGTCTGATAGAACTTGCATAAGAAGACAGAGTTAAGTCTATGAGGTCATACAAGTACGTAGACGAGGATAGGGAGCATGAGGTACTGGTCCCAATGCGGGTCCCCCTGCATGGAGGGAGGCGCGGGTCCCCCTACATTGGTCCCAGCAGTGAAGGAAGTGCGGGTCCCAGCTTGCTCTGACCGCTTCAGCTAAAGCTATTTTTTCTTTTTTTTTGAATAAAAAGTTTAGACTTTGC